CGAGCCGCTCATGCCGCCCGCCCCGCGCCTCCGCGCAGTCCCGGAGCGCACAAAGGGACGTGTCCGCCCGGCGCGCTGCCTTGTGGGAGAGGCGGCGATTAGCATAGGGGGCGGAGCCCCCCGCACGCTGGCCGGAGTCGGGGGGAGGTGGCTATTAGCATAAGGGGCAGGGCTGGAGGAGGAGGTAGCCGGGGGCCAGGGCTCATCGGCCCGGGCGGGGCCTAGGGAGCACGGGGCGTGGCCGGCCCGGCGCACCCGGCCTGAGCCTCCAGCCGGCGCCCGCGGGGTGGGTGGGGCCAGTGCTGGAGTCCGGAGCCGGCCGCGGCCGCCTGGGACCAGCTCGCTGGAAGATGCCCGTCCTCCTTTATTAGCACCTGGGGGCTGCACCGCCACACCGAGCCTTCTGCCCCGTGGAGGAACACGGCCGGAGGATCCCCAGACGGGCCTCCGCGCCCCGCTCCGGGGCGACCGTCAGCCCCGGGAGCCGGCCGGCCGAGGAGGGGCCCGGCCGGGTCTGCGGGCGCTCTCGAACTCTTCGGTGCCCCTGTTGGGAGCCCCGTGCTGGCCCGCGGGCCAGCTCACTGTTGGTGATGGAGGGATCACTGAGCCGGCACCCTGGCCTCATCCCCTGGCAGCGATGCGGGCGTGGCCGGCACTGCGGGCCCGGGGAGCGGCGCCGAGAGGACCGGCAGCCCGCGGCACGCCTGCGGGGCGCTCCCGGGCTCACCCCGGGGTCCGCAGCGCTGAGCGGCACACTCACACTGCGCGTGCGCGGAGGGCAGGGGGCTGAGCGCGGGGCGCCGCGGGGACCCGTGTGCACCCGTGAGTCCACCTCCCGGCCTCCTGGCCTGAGCGGCCTGGGCAGAGCTCACACGCTCTAAGCTTTGGTTTCCTCCCACACTGGACAGGTACTTCTGCAGGCTCCGTGCCCCTATGCACGCCACAGAAGCGCTCCAGGTGGCTGAGCCTGGGCGCTATCAGGGGTTGCAGAGGGACCACGGGTGTGTCGGTGGGCACCTTGCCCGTGTGTGTGCAAATGTGCCCCAGAGGACGACGGAGGGAAAGTGGCCCGCAGAAAGATGCTAATGAACCTTGACAGCGTTGAGTGACAGAGCCCAGGGCAGGATGGTGGCACCCATCACCCGGTTACATCATCAAGAAGAGCCACGAGTGCAGACCCCATTGTGGCTCCAAGGCCGCTCCTTCCATCTTGACCAGCTCCCGCCTGTCCTGCCCACTGCCCATCAGAAGGCTCTGCCTCAGCACACAGGCCCAGCCCAGGCACCTGGCCACCTCTGTAGAAGGTCCCCCAGGCAGCCTGGCTCCTGTACCACAGCACCACTCCCTCTCTGGACCGCGTGCTCCACTGCTTCACTCCCAGTGTGTTGGTCTTGGAGAGGAAAGTCATGCCAGACAGCTGCTGGCACATCTTCCTCCAAGTGAATGGGCCCCAGGGCAGCAGTACCTCCCCTGGGATCGGGCAGAGCAGTGAGGGCCCAGCAGCCCACTCCTGGCTGACAGAAGGCACTCTGGGGTAGGCTAAGTTCACGGCCCCTCTCCCTTCTACAGACTCTGTGTCTCTTAAGGAGCAGCCTCCTGTCCTAGCCCAGCTGATCACAGCCCAGTGACAGAATAGCCTCAAAAGTGACAAGTGGGAATGGCATGGCGGAGCTTGCTGGGAATGGGAGGCACTGGGTGACACGGGCATGTGACAGATCCCATGACCAGCAGCAGCTGCTTACGTGAACTTGGACATACCCACACTGCAGTTGAGGGAGCTCTTGAGGACCTGGAGGGTCAGTACCTCACCCAGGGGATGCCCAATGGCCACCACACAGTCCCCATGCCCCGTGCCTCACATGTCAATGGTCCCTGTGGGCTCAGGTACTGCCACAGGTCCCTGCAGGGGGACAGGAGGGACATGGGCACAGTGGGCAGTTCCTGGGACTCTCAGCAGGACACAACAGGGCTGAGCTTTCCCTGGTCAAGAGGTTATGGTAGGGTGGCCTGGAAGGAAGCCTCTTTAAAGCTGGGTACTGGTGGCTCTTGCCTGTCATTCTAGCTACTCAGATGGCTGAGACCTGAGGACGTGGTTCAAAACCAGACTGGGTAGAAAAGTCTTATCGCCAATGAACCACCCAAAGCCAGAAGTGGAGTCGTGGCTCATGTGGTAGAGTCCTGGCTTTGAGCAAGAAGCTAAAGGGCAGCCAGTCAGTGCCTGAGTTCAAATCCCAACAGCAACACACACACACACACACACACACACACACAGCACCTGCCTCCTTAGGTCCGGGAGGGACATGCATGAATCGCCAAGGCTCCAGTGTCGGGGAGGGGTAGGCTGTGCAGCTCTGAGGGATTCTGGATTGCAGTACCCCTAACACTGCCATCTTTAGGCTACTTGTGGGGTACACTAATACAAGTGCTGTTTCCCTTTGCGAGATAAGACTAGAGCCCTACCAGGCACTGGCAGCTCACACCTGTCATCCTAGCTGCTCAGGAGGCTAAGATCTAAGAATAGGCGTTTGAAGCCAGCCCAGGCAGAAAAGTCTCTGTGAGACTCTTATCTCTATTTAACCAATCAAAAACCAGAAGTGATGCTGTGGTTCAAATGCAGAGCATTAGTCTTGAGCAAAAGAGCTCAGGGACAGTGCCCAGCTCTGAGTTCAAGCCTCATGATTGGCAAATAATAATAATAATAATAATAGGAGCGCTGAACCCAAGGGCACGCAGCCCACTCAGGAGGGTCTGTCCCACATGGAGATGCCAGGGGTGCTCACCCTCCTTTAGTCAACTTCACAGAAAGCAAGGAGCCTAGCCAGACTCTGCTGGGCTTTCCTGAGGTTCCGGAGGCTGGGGCGCTGGGACTGGGAGCCCGGCCCAGGGCCATGGAAGAGGATCACCAGCAACAGCAGCTGTGCTCTGGCCAGGGGCGGTGGCTTCCTGGTGGGGTGCTGGACTGGGGGTCCCCGGTCTTTCACAAGGCTCAACCCAACAGCCCCGCACTGTGACCGGCTTAGGCAAGTGCTGGCAAAAGGAGGCTGGCACCGGTGACTGGGCTTCAAGGCAGGTATCTCGGCGATACTGGACGCCCTCGCCACAGGAGACGGAGCACTGGCAGGAGACGGGAGGAAGTCAGGGCCTCACTCTCCCAGTTGCTCTCCCCGCCAAGCCTTACAGCGGGGCCCAATCGCTCCTCCAGCTGATCTCCACCCACATTCCATCAGTCCCTGTGGCACCCATGTGTTCTACTACTTCATGCCAGCCCGCATCTCTGCCAGGCCCAGATGCCCGGGGTCCCTCTGACGGAGGTGGGCGTGGCTGTCTTCTGTGCCCTATTCACCTTGGTCTCTTCCTGGCACGCACGGTACGACATTGACTGTTTGTGGCACTGAACTGTTGGGCCTCTCACGGCCTCGCTGCCCCAGGACCCTAGGCCTTGCTGTGCCTTCTGGTTCAAGGCACTGCCCCCAACAGACCCCCCTCCTCCAGGGTCCTCACCGGTGTCCAGGTGCCGACGTGCCACTGGTAGGCACAGTGGGCAGTGAGGCAGGGGACGCTGGCCTGGGGCCGCACCAGGGCCGCACACAGCGCCTCGTCCACCTCAGCGTCCTGCCCGCCGTCCCGCTGGACACAGGTTACGGTGCGTGCGGCAGTGCCAAGACCACAGCTGGCTGAACATGGACCGAGGGACAGGACCTTCCACCTGCAGGGAGAAGACCCCAGGGAACTGGGCCTCTTGGAAGATGGGGCTGTCCACGCAGGCTCAGAACCCCCCATCTCCTTCCGGAGTTGCCTTGATGGGTCCCAGAGCCAGGGGACGGGAAATTGGGCCGTGGAACCTTCCAGGACCAGCCAGGCTCAGGAGGGCTCCGCAGGGAACACATCTCTTCTCCCTTTGGCCATCTAGCACCTATTACTTGTCCTCTGCCCCCTGAGCTGCTTGATGGCCAAGTGACAGGAAGTGGTGTCCCACAGTAATGGGCACCCCACATGGCCTCCTGGGAAGTCCACTCTCAGTCCTATCTTTTTCTTTTCTTTTCTTTTTGGTTGGTTGTGGGCCCTGAACTCTGGGCCTGGGCGCTGTCCCTGAGCTCTTCACAGTTCAAGGCTAGCACTCTACCACTTGAGCCACAGCGCCACTTCCAGCTTTTTCTGCTTATGTGGTGCTGAGGAATTGAACGCAGGGCCTCGTGCATGCAAGGCAAGCGCTCTACCACTGAGCCACCTTCTCAGCCCAAGCCCTAACTATCTTAATTTGGAATCATTCAGCAAATGGAGCCACCATTTCTCAGAGCCCAGATGTGAACCAGGCAACCTTCCTCCACCCTCCCGATGCCTGGACCAGTCCTTCCATGAGCCCAGCTTTATTCTAGAATCGGGGCCTTGGCATAAGGGACATCTGCATGGCCCTCTGTCCTGGGGGCCTGTCAGGTGAATTGCAGGCCGGGCAGCTGTACCCCTGGCCTCTGCCCACGAGGGGCCGCTAGCAAATCCCTCTGCCCATTTGTGACCATTGAAATCGCTGACATTGCCAAAATGCCCCCAGAAGGCAGGATTGCCCCTGGTGGGGATACCACGGCCCAGGCCCATGCAAGAAGAGAGGACATGAGCAGAGACACAGATGCAGTGGGGGGGGGGAGGGTAAGGGCAGTGCCGTGAATGAGAGCTCAGGGGTCCGTCAGGGTGGGCTGAGCAAGACACCCCGGAGGCATTTCCTCTCGTAATCTCGTAATGCCGGTGGCAGGGAGCCTTGAGGGGATCCAGACAGTGCACAGCAGACTGTGAGGTGCAGAGGTGCGGGAACCTGGAGCCTGGAGCAAAGGCATCCCTGGAATGTTCTAGAACAGGGTGGCAGTAGCAATATCTGAGAACTAGCCTCAAATAGCGCACAGACAGAGGCCCCTGCCCCATTCCACAGGCCACTGGACATGGTGCCAGGGCAGAGACCTTCCACCTGCAGAAGGAAGGCTGGAGCTCTGCAGATTACCCCCACCCCTGCCAGACTCCTTCCCCTGAAGTTTTCCTCTCCCACTCACCTAACAGGACATGGGTCAGCCTGGCAGACCTCCTGCCGGGTCCCCGGCTTGGTGGCCAGGTCACATAGGTCTTCCTGGACAGGTGTCCGGAGCACAGAATCCATGCACAGGAAGTGAAGGTTCATGGAGCCTGCGAGGAGGAAGCAGGGACCCCCTCACCTGCAGAGATGGACTCAGCAAGAATCACATACCTGGCTCGTGGCAGGCGGAGCCACGACTGCCAACTGAAAGCTGTGTGCCCTTGGGCAACTGATCTAACCTCTCTGAACCTCAGCTGCTTCCATATGGTGACATCTACCTTGCAGTCATGTGTAAGTATTTTTACACACAATACAAAGTCAATGTCAGGCGCCAGTGGTTCATACCTGTAACCCTAGCTACTCAGGAAGCTGAGACCTGAGGATCGTGGTTCAAAGCCATCTTGGCAACAAAGTCTAGAGACTCTTGTCTCCAATTAAACATCAAAAGCCAGATGTGTAGCTGTAGCTCAAGTGGTAGAGTGCCAGCCTTGAGAGGAAAAGCTAAGGAGCAGCACCCAGGTCCTGAGTTCAAGCCCCAGGATCAGTGCACGCATGTGCGCACACACACACACACACACACACACACACATTTTTAAAGGGAGCTTTGGAGTAACTGGTGCACACAGACAAAAACTGCAGCTTGCCTCTCCATCTTTCTGTGATTGTCATAGAGACATTAGTGCTAGTTTCTCCCATCTCCACCAGGAACAGCTTCAAAAGGAAACTTCCTGGTCTCAGTACTAAACATGCTGAAGTGTGAGTAGTTCAAGAATACTGTGAGAGGGCTGGGAAGGTGGCTCAGCGGTAGAGAGCTTGCCTAGTATGCATGGAGCCCTGGGTTCAATTCCTCAGTACCACATACACAGAAAAAGCTGCAAGCGGTGCTGTGGCTCAAGTGGTAGAGCGCTTGCCTTGAGCAAAAAGAAGCTTAGGGACAGTGCTCAGGCCCAGAGTTCAAGCCTCAGGACTGTGAATACTGTGAGGGCTAGAGGTGTGGCTCAGATGGTAGAGCACCTGTTAGCAAGTGTGAGGCCTTGAGTTCAAATCCCATACTGAAAAGGGGAACACTGTGTAGCTTCTCAACCCTTTGGGACACTGCTATTGACATTAAAACTTTTTAGAACCCAGAGAATAAGCCAGGTGTGGAAAGCCATATCTGTAATTTTAGCATTTGGAGACTGAAGCGGGAGGAACAAAAGTTCAAGGCCAGCCTGGGCTAGCTTCAGAGAAAAAAACCTGTCAAAACAATATAAACAAAAGCTGGTAGCTGGCCCCCCCTGGCTCACACCTATAATCCTATCTACTCAGGAAGCTAAGATCTGAGGATTGCTGTTCCAAGCTAGCCAGGGTAGGACAGAGGGAGAGACTCTTTTTTTTGGGGGGGGCGGGGGTCCGGTCATGGGGCCTGAACTCTGGGCCTGGGCGCTGTCCCTCAGCTCTTCAGCTCAAGGCTAGCACTCTACCACTTGAGCCACAGTGCCACTTCCGGCTTTTTTCTTTTTGCTTATGTGGTGCTGAGGAATTGAACCCAGGGCCTCATGCATGCAAGGCAAGCGCTCTACCACTGAGCCACCTTCCCAGCCCCGGAGAGACTCTTATCTCTAGCCTTGAGCAAAAAAAGCTCAGGGACAGTGCCCAGGCCCAGAGTTCAAGCCCCACAGCCAAAAAATAAAATAAAATAAAATAACTGGTCACCAGGGCTGGGAAGGTGGCTCAGTGGTAGAGCACTTGCCTTGCATGCATGAGGCCCTGGGTTCGATTCCTCAGTACCACATAAGCAAAAAGAAAAAAGCCGGCAGTGGCGCTGTGGCTCAAGTGGTAGAGCGCTAGCCTTGAGCTGAAGAGCTGAGGGACAGCACCTAGGCCCAGAGTTCAGGCCCCACGACCGGACCCAAAAATAAATAAATAAATAAATAAATAACTGGTCACCAGTGTCATGCCTGGAATCCTAGCTACTCAGGAGGTTGAGCTGGGAGAGTCACTGTTCAAAGCCAGCCAAGACAGATAAAACTTTGAGACTTATCTCCAATTAACTAACAAAAGAACAGAACTAGAGACACGGCTAAAGTGGCAGAGCATCACCTAGGAACAAAAACAAAAAGACACAGTTCAAGGCCCTGGTTCAAGCCCCAGTACTGGCACAAAATAGTAAACAATAACAACAACAAACTGACCCTGTGAAAGCACAGTTCCACACCCAAAGACTCAAGGAAACAGTTCCACACTCGTATGCAGCCCAGCTGAAATTAGGACGCAAGCCAGTGTCTGTCCATGCAGAACAGATAAACAGCGTGATCTCCACCTGCCACTTTACAGCCTTAGGAAAGAAGATTGTGACACCAGCCATGACACGGACCGGGCTGGAGGTCAGTGAGATAGCCAGTTCCATAGGGCAGATCCTAGAGGACCCCATGTCTAAGAGGTCCCTAGAGGAGTCCCATCCATACAGACAGAAGGTGGACTGTGGGCTGCTGCGGTGGGGTGGGGCTTAGGGTTTAATGGAGATGGATACAAGGTGTCAGGGGAGGGGGGGAGACGGGGAGGAGGGAGGAAGACAGGGGGAAGGACTCTGCACAACATTGTGAATGTGCTTAGTGCCAGTGAATGGAACACTTAAAGTTAAAATGATAACTTTTTATCATACGTGTATTGTAACACAATTAAAAACTGGAAAAATGAAAGAACACTTTGTCTTAAAACTGTCTCTCTGAGCCAAATGGTCATGCTTTCTCTGATATGCAGCAGTTAAATCTAAAGGGCACTGGGACATGACAAATTACAAAGGATTCTAGATACTCACATACAGTGAGACCAAAAGATTCTCTCTTAGGAGAGAATCACAAAGGCACAATACCCAAGTGCCTCTTTAAATGTATATAAAATAATATACAGGGGCTGGGAAGGTGGCTCGGTGGTAGAATGCTTGCCTTGCATGCATGAGGCTCTGGGTTCGATTCCTCAGCACCACATAAGCAGGAAAAAAAAGTCAGAAGTGGCGCTGTGGCTTAAGTGGTAAAGCACTAGCCTTGAGCTGAAGAGCTGAGGGACAGCGCCCAGATCCAGAGTTCAGGCCCACGACTGGACCCAAAAAAATAATAATAATAAAAATAAAATAATACATACTGAAAAAAAACTCAAACATGAGAACAAAGGACTTTTTTCTTAATTGTTTTTCCTTTTGCTGATGATTCTGATTTCACTTATATATAATATATTCATGTGCATATCTGGGAGGGTGGGGGAGGGCACAGAATCTGGTGAAAAAGTGCAGCAGTGGAGCGCACTGGACACTGATAAAAGTGGACTACAAGCCGGGGGCGGGGGCTCACGCCTGTCATCCTAGCTACTCAGGAGGCTGAGATCTGAGGATTGCGGTTCAAAGCTAGCCAAGTCAGGGAAGTCCGTAAAACTCTCATTTCCAATAAACCAGCAGAAAACCGGAAGTGGCACTGTGGCTCATGTGGTAGAGCGCTCACCTTGAGCTGAAGAGCTGAGGAACAATGCCTAGGCCCAGAGTTCAAGCCCCACGACCGACCAAAAAATAGATAAATAAATAAGTAAAAGTGGACTACACACTTGTAGGTGGAAACGGGAGGGAGAGGATGGGAGAGAATGAGGGAACAGATGACACTGTATGAAAGGAAATGTACTGGCCTGGGAAGTTGGCTCAGTGGTAGAGCGCTTGCCTTGCATGCATGAGGCCTTGGGTTCGATTCCTCAGCACCACATAAGCAGATTAAAAAAAAAAGCCAGAGGTGGCACTGTGGCTCAAGTGGTAGAGCACTAGCCTTGAGCTGAAGAGCTGAGGGACAGCGCCCAGGCCCAGAGTTCAGGCCCATGACTGGACCAAAAAAAAAGGAAACGTACTTATTACCTGATGCATGTAAATGTAACCCCTCTGTATATCACCTCTATAATAACAAAAAAGTTAATTAATTTAAAGACTGTCTCTCTGGGTGCAGACAGGAGGGAAATACTGGGAGAGAGCAAGGAAAGGAGTGACATTGTCCAAAAAGAAGTGTACTCTTGACCTGACTTAGGTAACTGTAACCCCTTTGCATGCCACCCTTGTAATAGCAACAAAAATTAAATTAAAATATATACATAAATAAATACATTTAAAAACCTGTCTCTCTGCTTTAGTGGTCGGTTTGACCAGTCTTAGCATGGTTGCTTTCTTTCTTTCCTTGTCTCTCAGCCAATCACTGTATTACAAGCAAGCAGCTTTCGGGTCCCTCCCTGTCTCCATTTAGAGCACCTGTCAGTACTGCCCTGTCTCTCAGCCAATTAGTGAATGCACTTAGAGCAGCTGCAGGCTCCTTCCCTGTCTCAAACAATCAGTGAATGAACTTAGAGCAGCTGTGGGGTCAGTCCCTGTCTCTCAGCCAATCAGTGAATGCACTTAGAGCAGCTGTGGGCTCCCTCCCTGTCTCTCAGCCAATCAGTGAATGCACTTAGAGCAGCTG